AGTCATTTCTAAATTTTATATATTTCCTACAAAGGATATTCTTCCTAGCAATAGAGACCCTTATGGCTTTAGTAATCAATGGTTTTGTTTGTAATTTTAATTTCCTTTTTAAAGTCTTTATTGGAATATGTTTATCAATGACTTCAGTTATATTAGTATAAAAAGAATCAAAAATAGAATCAACATCACGGTCATATTTCAAATATTTTCTGCAAATATTTTCTGCCAATTGATACTCAGAACCTCTGCCAATAATCTTTCTCTATCAAACATAGAATAATCCCTCTTGTAAATCACACTTTTAGTTGTAGAGTGTGGCAATTTCTTGATTATTAGAAAATTTTGCAGATGATCTGCTAAATTACATAACAAGTTACCACTGATGGTGTCAAATTCAATTGAATTAAAAAAGATATTGTCAATGAGTGTAGCAGAGTAATTAGTTATTCAGGTAGGTTTAGTTATATGTGGTTGAAAAAAGTATGATGCTAGCGTATTAATAAACTCGCCAGTTGGATTTTGCGATTCAAAGTTCAATAGATTTAGGTTAAAGTCACCCATAATAGAACATAGTTTACATTCATTGGAAATGTTCCTAATAGCAGTATAAAAGTAGTTTGAAAAATTTTATAGATTACCATTAGGGTGTCTATAAATCACAGCACAGACCAAATTACGTGTTTTGCAGTGCATCTCTTCCATAAAGCCTCAAAATCATTAGTAGTTTGACTCAAATCATCTCTTAAGTTAAATTTCATATCATCCTTTATATAAATTCCTACACCTCCAGCTTCAGAAAGGGTAGGTTGAGAAACAAACTGGTATCCAGGAGTAAAAATATTACCAATAACATCTCTATTATGTTTTATCCTAGTTTCTGTCAATCCAACAATATTAAAATTATGTCGAAGCTCTGTTAACAATATTTGCAGACTGTCAAAATTAGCCAACAAGCTGCAAATATTACAATGTTGTATAGAAAACTCATAATTAGGAACAGTATTTTTATCAAGTATATTACTATGAAACTCATTGGGCCTATAATAATTAAAGTTTACACTAGAAAAATCATTATCATCAGTATCAACATAATTCACGTCTGGGAAATCATTCAAATGAGAGATCAATTCTAGTCTAGGTAGTTCATTAAAGTAATCATCTCTTTTTGAAGAACGACAACTACTGCACTAGCTGAATAAACATTGGTGATACTATTAGCAAAATGCTCTCGCTGCGAGCTTGCGAGGAGTATCAGCTCGCGTTGCCAATTTCCACTCTTTGTTTTGCTTCATAATATATTACATGGCGGTTTGTTTTTGTTTACAATATGGCGGCCGTTGTCAATCGCCGTATTTTGTTATTACTGTATTTAAGACGTCGTATGCGAAGATGCAGTATAGAAAGCGTTTTTGGGTTTGACCGATATTCGAAAGACGACAACAGCATGGGGGATACTTCAGATTGGTAAAAGAAATGAAAGAAGTAGATCATGAAAGCTATTTCACCTACTTCAGAATGCTCCCTCAACATTTTGATTTTTTACTGTCTCTGGTCGCGCCTCTTATCTCTAAATGCAGCACAAGAAGGGATAGTATTTCTCCGTCGGAAAGGCTTGCTTTGACTTTACGTTATTTGGCGTCGGGTGACAGCCCTCAAAGCTTATCATTCAGCTACAGGATTGGTTTGACAACAGTACATAAAATAATTCGTGAAGTTACAGAAGCAATTTGGTCTACTCTCTTTAAAAAAGGGTATATTAAAGCTCCAGAGAGTTCTTTTGAGTGGGAAAAAGTAGCAGAAGAGTTCGAACAAGGTGGAACTTTCCTCACTGTTGTGGAGCCATGGATGGAAAGCACATTAGAATGCAAGCTCCCCCATCAGCTGGTAGCAGATATTTCAACTATAAACTGTGGCATAGTATTGTCCTACTTGCAGTTGTATCAGCTGATTACACTTTTCTCTTAGTTGATGTCGGTGATTGTGGTCGTCATAGTGATGGTGTGTTCTGCAGAATTCCCAGTTTGGTGAAGCACTAGTAACAAATCAACTAGGTCTACCATGCCCTAAACCACTTGCTGGTGCCCATCCAAATGGAAAGATTCCTTACATGTTTGTGGCCGATGAAGCGTTTCCATTAAGATGCAACATTATGCATCCATATCCAGGTAAACACCTGACAGAAGAAAAAAGGGTTTTCAATTACTGCTTGTCAAGGGCAACAAGGATGCTTTTGGAATAGCCGCATCACTCTTCCGCATCTCTTCCGCAACGCGTACCTGCTGGATCTAGGATGTATTGCCCACCAGGATTTGTAGACAATGAAGACAGGTAAATAACCTTTGAACTAAATTTGAGAATGATTCTAGATCTTTTTTAAAAATTTAACATACTCTAGATTTTGTGTTGCTTTTACTCGTTGAAAACGTGTAAAATGACTCAAACAGACATAAGATGTAACATGTTGTAAATGTAGTTCAGTATGGAATTTCACTTCATCTAGAGTTACATTGTAGTTATGAGAATATTTAGCTGATTGATAACTCCTAGTTTTACCCATTTGAAACAACTGTATACTCCATCCAACAGCCTTTTAATTATTTCTCTTTTAATTTGAAGATCAGGTAATTTAGTTGCTGGCCAGTGGAGGCATTTAACAGAATGTGAGGCTACACTCCAGTCACTGAATAGACAAGGAAGCAATTTTTTACTAAAGATGATGCACAAGTACGAGAAGAGCTTACAAATTACTTTTGTTCAGGAACAGGTCAGGTTTCATGGCAGTTGCAACATGTTAGGTCAGATGGAAATGACATAAATGAAACCAATTCTTTATAATTTTATACCTTGTGTTAAATAAGCCATTACAGTCTCATAGCAAACATGCTATGACTCTTGTTTTGTTTGTTTTGTGTAAAAAATAATAATAAACACAATTGTACTTTAATTTTGTTTTTCAATTTTGCATTATGCAGATTGCTTTGTCCATTAATTGAATGAATTTAGATAAACAATTAATGCACAATTACATTTATGATCAAATTGATCCACAAGGTTTTGTAATCATTTACTTTTTTTAAGTTGTACACTTTAAATAGTTATAACACATAGGTATTTACATAAATAGAATGTTTTGCTACCTCATATATTAATTATATAAATTAAAAATCAACCATTAAGCAAATTCAATCAACATAATATGTTGAGAATACAACCTCAACAAGCAGAAATGAGGGTTGGTCAATATTCAAGATCAATCTTCAGAGAGTGGCAACTCACACTCCATCTGAAACAATACTTCTGTGATTTTCATCTTTGCCAAAGCTTTATGATAATTGTCAAAGCTTCTCAGTGTGTGGGCAATTGAATTTCCAAAAGAAGCTGCTGCATCTGGTTCACTTGAGCTGACATTACAACTTTTCTTTTTATTATCTTCCTTTAACAAATTTCAAGATTGCTATATCAATTTCCTGATCAACATTTTTTCTTCACTGGTGATTTATTCACACCAATTGATAATTGATCATCGTGCACTCTTTAAATCCAAGTTTTGTGAAATAGTTTGATTGTTGTTTGTTACTTCAGAAGAAGCAACTTACAATATGCTACTGCATGGTAATGATGAATCAATTCTATTCATTTCAATGCTTTCACCTGTCTCAGAAAAACCAGCTCTTTCATTTTCACTGCATGTTGGCACAAAACCAATGTTACCCAAGCTAGCTCTGTGTGAAATGCAGTATCTAACAAACTGCATATGGTTGAACCACTTCCATCTAATAGCTTTCTTTCTTCCTGATCCAGATGGATGTCTTTTACGTTGGATGTTTTCTGAAAACATGTCACGAAGTCCATTCCATTTTGTTAGACAAACGTGAACTAAATATTAAAAATAATGTCAGGACCCACAAAGCAAGGGGTTAGTTGTCATTATTTTTCAAAATATCTGGAATGTAAAAAGGATAAAACCAGAAAGGAAAACGCAAATAATTTAAAATTTCGAGCACACTGGGAAGGAAACTAGCAACTACTGTGAAGGTACCAGAGGATTTATCCTGACATTCATCCTCACAATCATCACAGGATTCACCACAACATTCAAAATTAGAATAAAGTGTGAAGTTGACACCAGATTCATTTTAATATAATTAAATAACATCAGTTTCAGAACCAAAATAAAAAACCCTATTTTTTGCTACAAAAAAGCAAAAAATGCACACGTGTTTGGTGCCATTGTAAAGACCAAGTTGTTTAGACAACGATTATACTATTTTTATTTTGGTCGAACGTCTTGGAGACAATCTACAGCCTTTTAAAGACTACTTCCGCTTTTGTCGCTTTACGTTAATTAATTGCGCGATGTTTACAATGCATAAATGTTGACATATAAAAAGGCCTAATTTTCAAGAAGTAAACACACTACCATTTACTTGTGTTTCATATCATGTGAAAGAACGTGTTCCAAGGATTCTAAAATTGTCTTTATTATCTTGGCCCAAATTCTAGGAGCCAATCTAAAACTTGAGAAAGGTAGAGCATTTTTGCATTAATTAATATGCATGCTGTCATGTAGCATTATTTCACTAATGTCTAAATATGCCAGGTTTTGAACTAGTTAACACGCTGCGATATACTCGTGTTTGGTATCAGCTTAAAGATCTTGTTTTGAGGGTTACAACTATGGTTTTATTATCCTGGCCCAAATTTGTGGAGAAATTCTACAGCTTAGAAAATACTTATGACTTTTGTGTTAATTAATATTTGCGGTACTTAACTGACATGTATATATATATACCTAATTTTGAAGACGTTAACACGCTGCAACATACTTGTGTTTGGTATCGTCTTAAATATCCTAATTTGAGGATTACAAATATGGTTTTATTATCCTGGCCTAAATTCGTGGAGAAATTCTACAGCTTAGAAAATACTTATGACAGTTGCGTTAATTTATATTTGCTGTACTTAACTGACATGTATATATATACCTAATTTTGAAGAAGTTAAAGGTCACCTGAAATGCAAAATTCATATTTCTGTTTATTTGACATATAAAATGTATATATTGCGTAGACTATTCAAAGAAAATTTGAAAACAATCCCATGATTATTTTAAGAGATATCAACGTGTGAATTTGTGTTTTTTTTGAATAGAAGTAAGAAATATTCCGTCGGTTTATCGTCGGAAAGTACTCGTGACGTAATAGTTGCCATTGACATTTCGCGCGAGAAAGCGGCAAATATGAATTCATAAATAAAGTTTGATTTTGATCGGCTATTTTAAGATGGTTTACTGTGTGGCATTTAACTGCAAAAATGGTTCTTCTAAGAACCAATCTAAGGCAGAAAAAGTTGGGTTTTCAGTTTCCCCGCTAAAAATCCTTTACGCCAAGCATGGGTCGATAAGGTGAAAAGGAAAGATTGGAATCCTTCGAAAAGGTCAAAGCTCTGTTCGGCACACTTTGAAGCCTGCTGTTTTGTCCAAAACCCCGGAGTCCTGAAATCTTTAGGATGGCGACCAACCAGGTTAAGGTTAAAGAAAGACGCAATACCAACGATCTTCGACTATTCGAGGTCGAAAGTTGGTGATAAACGGAAACCGGAGGCAACTAGAAACGTGTATGCAAAGCGCAGAAAATTAGAGGTAAAGTCTTGTAGCCAAGCAGTTTTTAATGTACGAAAATACATCAAAAACATGTTCGTTTTTTTTGAGTGGACAACTGGACACAAGAGATAAATGTAACATAAGTGACAATGGAACACAAACTGACAAAGTGGTAAGGGAATGCAATGCAGTTTTGTTTTGTGCAAAAGCCTAAACTGTTGCTTGATGATGTAGAAACGCAGACATGTAAAGTGTCAATCTGATAAAAAAATCCCAGTCGAAGGGCAAACGCACTCAAACGGAAGGCAAACGCACTCAAACGAATGCACAAGTGACGTCTCAAGGTTAATTTTTTACATGAACTCAGCGGAAAATAAACATTTTGAAAAGTGTTTCCTTAATTATGTTATTCCGTTGCACAGTGACAGAAACCGAAATTATCACGACAAATGCAAGAAGCACTCAAACGGAAAGTAGTTTATCCGTAGATGAAAACGACAATGATGATGATTTCCTATCAGATGCTGAAATAAGCACTTCGGAAAACAACAGTACCGCAGATGAATATCTTAGTTTCAGCGAATTTGAATCGTCAGATGATGAAGCATCATTTGCCGAGTAAGTTAGTCTGCATCATTTTGAAATAAGATAACCCAAAACATAAGTTCATTTCAAGTATTTTACAGAGCAAGATAACATTCATATAAAAAATAAGTAATTTTTCCATGTTATAGGGAAAATGATGTTACTCAAAAAAAATATATAGTTTTTGACAGCTGTCTAAGAAAGTTGTTCTCTCAGTGTCGACACTGTGGTGGTCACTGCAAGATATCAACCAGAAGCATTGGAAGCATGGTGAACATCATCGCTAAATGCTCAAATGGCTTTCTTAATAATTGGAATAGTCAACCTACTCATAGTCAGATGCCATTGGGTAATCTCTTGCCATCTGCCAGTATTCTATTTAGTGGTAACAGCCCATCCAAAATCCTGCAATATTTTCAACAAGCAAATGTACAGTTCATTACTGAAAGGTGCTACAACTATATACAAAGTAGATATCTTATTCCAAGTGTTTTGAATGTTTGGAAAAAGCACCAGACTATTATGATGACAGAGCGTCAGGGAAAGCAGGTTGTTATTGGGGGTGATGGACGATGTGATTCACCAGGCTATTGTGCAAAATATTGCTCATACAGCTGCATGGATTTAGAAAGCAATAAAATTCTAGACACACAATTAGTTTAGGTAACTAGCTCAATTCATTAGTTTATAGTATTGTATTCAAAACAGTATTGTGGCAAACACATTTTAGGAAATGTGTAATGTACTTATACAACATGAATACAATGTGTGTAACTAAATCATGTGATATACACCAACATACATGCATACTTGCAGACATGCATATCCCAAACACTGTATGATTTTATTTACATTAATATATCTATTACAGTCAAATGAAGTTGCAAATTCAGGGGCAATGGAATTGGAAGGACTGAAAAGATCTTTTAAACTTATTCAGTCACACAATCTTCAAGTGATTCATCTTATCACAGACAGGCATTGCCAAGTTAAAAAATACATGAAAACCCAACAGCCAGGAGTGAAGCACTATTTGATGTTTGGCATGTGGCAAAAGGTAAAATTAAGGCTACCAAAAGCTGCTCAAAGTACAGCAATGGGTCTTAAAATAAAGTACTTCCTGATTTGATCAAAGAGTATCTTTATAATCATAAATTACCAAGTGATTAAGAGGTTTTAGAATTTTTCTAATTGCATTTAATTTCATGATATTTTGATCAGTTATTGCTATGTTTTGCATTACAATTTTTAACCAATGTACAGTGTCTATTTTTTTTCTACAGGTATCAAAAAAAAGGTAATCGCAGCCGGGTAAGAAGAGTGGATGTAGATTGCTACTTGATTGGGCACAGTCAATATCTAACCATGTCTACTGGTGTGCTGCAAGTAGTGGTGGTGATGAGAAACTACTTAAGGCTAAATGGCTATCATTGCTGAATCACATTTGCAACATTCATGATGGTCATAGCGAATTATTTCCAAAATGTGAGCATGGTACTCTTGAGCCTCGCTTATGGATAAAGAAAGGTACAAATTAATCCTAAATGCTCTGGTATAAGACAATAGTTATTTACAGTAATTGATACTTTCTTTATCAACAAACTTCAATTGCCAGCCAATGCCACAATGTGGTGTTATTTGTCAACATATGACATAAATGGGCACCATAAAATTTTCTATCTTTTTTCCAAGGATCTAGAGCATTTACTGAATTGGCATCGATTGTTGAAAGCTGGTATCTCATGAAAGATATTGGGAAGCTCAGCCATGAGAAACAAACATCAGCTCTTGAAGGTTTTCATCGAGTTGTTATACTATATGCACCAAAGCATACACATTTCTTTTATAAGGCAATGCAAGCTAGGTAAACAAACAATAAACAATGTTGTTTTCATACTGAAAATGATTGCAAGGTGGCACACTAAAAAGTAAAATTAAATTTTTAGATTACTGATTGCTGCTCTCTATTTCAATGAAAATGGAAGTAAAGAACAAAGGCATACAAAGAAAATGGGAATTAATGTGGAAAGTGTCTCACCCCAAATCAAGACAGTCATGTGGAGTCATCAAAGGTGTTAAAATTGATAGTACTTATGGTAAGGACAAGTTTTAGCACTCAAAAGCCAAATAATTGTTCTACTGATGGTACATTTCTTGCACTTCTCAGTTTAATTCTTCTCCCCCTGTTTTACAGACTATGTGAAACAACTAATGGAGGAAGTGATAAGGTGCAGACATGCTAATTCCAGTTTAAACCAAGCAATTGCAACAGAAAGACAACAAAAAATACCAGATCCACTGACTAGTAGAGTTGAAAAAGTTGATAAAGTAACAGCAGTGCAACAACATACTTCACGATTCAATCTTAACTAAACTGAAGTCTAACACTCACAGGTATTTATAAATGCTGTGCATATTCAAAGCCTTTATATATGCCAGAAGGTGAAGGAAATGCTTTCCTTATTTCTTTAACAGCACAGGATGGTATAGGAAGTCGATATTTCTTGCCAAGCTTTCCATGTATCCATGCTGTCCATTGCCTATAGGCAGTGTAACGCAAAGTTCTGGGAAACAAAACAAAATCAAACATAAGCAAATTATTGTCGATATATGAGGAGATATCAAAAAAGCTGAAACTGACTCGGTTTCTGGAGCGTCTGGTATTGCCCCGTGATCGTGAATGAATACAACCATAGCTGTTCTAACGACTGTTTCGTTGATGCAGACCATGTGAAACTCTTGTTCTTCTGTGATGCATAAATGGTCACCATGAATTTTAGGGTCTGTCTTGGTTCCTCATGGCAACAAATGCTTTCCCGGCCGGTTGTCATCGCCACACAGTGTCCACACTCACACCTGCCATTAAAATAAAGAAAAGAATTTTATGACGCGATCTGAAATGTTAATCATGAAAAAAAGCAACGCACCAGTTTGTATTTCCAATCCTGTGAGTATATTCGTCAGATGAGCTGTCCATTGACGACGACGAAGACAGATCTTCGTCAGTTTCAACATTATTGCTACTAGCTAGCGGTTCAAACATGTAAGGCTGGACCTCCGTAGCAATATATTCGATGTCAAATTCGACTTCTTCCTCCGTTGAAGACATCGAGATAAACACGCATTAATAATAGCAGCAACAACAAAAAGAAAATTGGCGAAATTTAATTTTTACTGCTACTGGCTGCACTGAGAAAAAACATGCAATGGCAACTATTACGTCAAACTCGCCTAGCTTGGGTAATTCAAATTCGCTCGCGCTATTTGAATTCGGCCTTCGGAAATCGTCAATGTCATGAATTCAGAAGACCATATCTCATAAAATATAAAACATTGGACTTTCAAATTTGGCGAATAGGCTAATCATTAGCTAAGCTTTCATATGAAGCAAAGTTATATCAAGCATTTCAGGTGACCTTTAATACCCTGCAATATACTTGTGTTTAGTATCGTCTTAAAGATCTTGTTAAGAGGATTACAAATATGTTCTTATTATCATGGCCCAAATTCGTGGAGCAATTCTAAAGCTTAGAAAATACTTATGACTTTTAATTAATATTTGCTGTACTTAACTGACATGTTTATTTATACCTAATTTTGAAGAAGTTAACACGCTGCAATATACTTGTGTTTAGTATCGTCTTTAGTAGCGTCCTACGGTGCCCAAGGCATTTTCTTATCGCGGTACCCTATGACGCATTGTTACTACCTTTAGCATGGATCGTGGAGCACATGGCATATTTGCCACTGTTGGATATCGGCGCTGGTCATAAGACCATAAGTTTGTTCACACTGTACAACTAATGATAAACATTATTTTCTATTTAGAAATGGCTGAAAAGAAGCACGGAATGGTAAAACGATAAGTAACATTTTTGCAGTTTCTTAGTTTTCTGCATTAAGTGAAAAGAAATATTGCAACTTGTGTTTATGGCAAAGTGTGAAATGTTCAACAATAGTTGATTCAATTTTATTACATCACCATCAACCTTACTTAAACGTGCTTATGAGATAGAATAGTCTCAAAAAAATTGTGTTTATTAACATGCATGTTATCCAATCAGTTTAATGTGTGTTCTTTGTTTCAGATACTCAAAACAAACGATAGAGGGGGGATAAAGGTGAGCCAGTTCTTCAGAATAGATATAAAATTTCAAAAATGTTAATAGCTAAATACATGTGCATGCAGCTGACTCAAACCTACGCAAAATATCTCTTTTTTATGAATCATCTTAATCAGAAGAAACAAATCGAAAGAAGCAAAAAGGTTTGTTGCATAATTTTTACAATATATCGACTAAGAGTGTTTTTTTGTACTTGTGCTTAACATAGTACTTATACATGTATGATAACTGAACATCTTTATGATCTTATTTCATGTTAAGCGAATGCCAATGAATATAGTATAAAAAGCAGCTCTGCAACACTGTAAAATTCACCCTCGCTTTTTATAACAACCATCTAAATGCATTTTGCGAAATGCAAAACTAAGTATTGTAATGCCTAAGTATGTATTTATATTTTTCTTTAACATGACCAAATCAGGAGAAACTTCAACGAGAACAGGTTTCCAATTATAATACATGTTTTTTTTTGTATTTTGTTGGGCATGGAAAATCTCTAATGTCTATCGTTCGCAACTTTTTAGCAGACGTCGAAAAGCAAGAAGAAATCAGTAAGTTTAAACTAATGTCACACTTGTTCGCACAAATTATATATGTTGATTTTATTACTTTATTATTTCAGAATTTTTACAGATGCAATAAGGTGGGGCACGCCCCTGAAGAGTGCCCTACCAAACCGCGTCGAGGAAGCAGGGTAGCCGGAGAGGCCCCGGCGGACGGCGTAGTCGGCATAGCCCAATGGCGTGGCTGCGGAGGATGGCGTGGCCAAATAGTCATAAATATATTTACAAGGTGAAACGATTTTCATTAAACATATACCAAAAAGATTAAAAATTTAATTGATCAATTAAGTAGTGAAGTGTACAAAAAAAGAGCTTTTTAAACTATATTCGCGCAGAATAAAAAGAAAACATTCTGATTCTGAAACTATTTGACCAATCAAACACAAAACTTATTTCAAAACAATGCAAAAAATAAATATGAATTCCTTTTGTTATCTTACATTGTTCTTACCATCTTTTGCAGGGAGTCAAGACGTTATCCATAAGAAAAAGTTTAAAACAATCTCTAAAAAATAAAATATTCTGAAAAACATCTTTCCTGTGTCCAATCATTATTACAAACAACTATTCATTATCAAACAATAAAATTCGCCCTGATGGGGCAAATTTAGGTCCCTGTTGTATTAGACCTTGTTTGAAGCACTAAAAGTATACACGAAGACATAATCATTTTGCCATCTGCTATCCTGTTTTGTTTGGCTTGTTCTTTAATATACTGCATGTAAGTTTTTTTCGTTCTTAAGGAAATTTATTAACTAAAACGCCAAAAAATGTTTTTTGCGAGCTGTTATTGTAATTATATGTTGTTTATAATCTATATGATATGTTCATTCAAAGAAACAAACAAAACATTTTTCTTCCTATTTGTAATCCTCACAACAAGATCTTTAAGATTATACTAAACACAAGTATACTGGTACACGAATTTGGGCCAGGATAATACAACCATATTTGTAATCCTCAAAACAGGATCTTTAAGATGATACCAAACACAAGTATGTTGCAGCATGTTAATTTCTTCAAAATTAGGTATATATAAACATGTCAGTTAAGTACCGCAAATATTAATTAACGCAAAAATGCTCTACCTTTCTCAAGCTGTAGAAATGCTCCACGAATTCGAGCCAGGATAGTAAGAACATATTTGTAATCCTCAGAACAAGATCTTTAAAGGGGAACTCCGCCCTCACATGTTGGTCTTAAAACTTTGTCTGTCCTGTGAAAATAAATATGCAATTTTTTGTTTGTTTGATTCAATATTTTCAAAAATGAGTTGAAATGCTGCAGCTAGGGCATCCGGTGCATAGGAGAAGAAATATGTCAGCAGCTTGTATTTGAAGCCATATCGTCAATTGCTGCTCAAAGCCTTATGTAAAGTCATTGCAGTCATAACAAACTTGCCTCAAAATGCTTCTCCTAATCACAAAAAGTTTCTTTTCGAAACGTCAGAATTTTTATCCATAAGTATACACAAGCAACTTTTATAGCTTACCTGCAAGTATTGAGCTGGTTATTTGTATTCTGTTTTAATAGAACGGTTTCATATCCATAAAAGCCATTATCGCACAGTTTCTGCACTACATAGAGAATTTAACTATTGATTAATATTATTTTTTAAAAAATACTAAGGTTTATTTGTGTGGAAACTGTGCTGTAATGCCGTTTGCTTCGTTTGCTTGTCCACTGAATTCGACCTTAACAACAGTTTCTACTGATGTGAACCCAGTCTATTGCCATGAATAACATTGAATAATAATAAAACATGGTTACGTAATTTAGATTCATTATGGTTAGAAAATAATCCTACATAATAATAATAATAATAATAATAATAACATTGAATAACATTGAATAATAATAAAACATTGTTGTGTAATTTAGATTCATTATGGTTAGAAAATAATCCTACATAATAATAATAATAATAATAATAATAATAATCGTGCATAGAATTTAGGTGTAGTTTCCTTGATGTAAAGTATGAACGTATAGTTTCCTAATTATTTGTACATAATTTCCCTTTTTTAAGTCACATTTGGGGAAAAAATTGCCAGTGCTATGAAAAACAAACACCCTTATATTGATCACCAATATGATGTGTGGCATTTGTCTAAATCTGTCACAAAAAACTAACAAAGACTAACAACGGAAATGACTTGACCCATTGGATTAACGGACATTGGACGATAATTTAAGTTAGGCTTAATTAACGGAAATATCGCATAGACTTATAATATACCTTTGTTAGTTCAACCAAAGTTTTTGTCTTCATGTAACAAAGGTTTTTCTGACTCAATTTCAAAGTTCCGCCAACCATTTTGATTTGTTTTGAATATAATGAGATATGCAGATTTATGCAATGAAGTCACAACTGGGAGGCATATCTGGTAACACAATATACTTTTATATGTGTTTTGATGAAGTCAGTGTGAATTATTCTTAAAAACGTTTTTCACACTTTTTACATCATGTACATGCAATATACATAATGAAATAAATAAAGAAAAATAAGTTATTTATTTATATATTCAGTATACATTTTGTATGGTTGTATCGGAGCTTGTTCGTGTCCATGTTCATTTCCACTCGTAGGAAATCGTAGACGATTAAAAACATCAACAAATATGACAGCTAAAGCTTCATGAAACATATTCGCCAAAGTCTGAGAGATGATTACAAATAGAAGAAAGTTTTAAGAATTGTATTTTGTAGACAGCAGATTTTGTTGTAAATTGTAATGTTATGTTGTGTAGTGTGTGACTATGTCATATTATAGATCATAAGATATAACGGATATTATGTTGATGTAAAATAGTATAGTCATGTTAAGAGAACACTTCACCGCATGCGCCATTGTGGTAGGATGTAGGTAGAAACGGGATGGCAAAGTTGTGCGTCATATGTAGACGCCCAAAAACCACTTCCGACTAATTATACATAAATATAGCTTGCAAGCGTTGGTTCGGGAGTTCGGAAAAGTTGTAGTTATTGGTGTATGAACTGGTCATACAAATTTGATGAATTAGAGTCGTATTGCAGAAGGCAGATTTGCGAAAGATTTCAGCGATCATGTACTGCGCAGTATATGGATGTTACAGTAACAGCAAAAATAATTCTGACCATTCTATTCATTTTTTCACTTTCCCAAACGGCGTAAAAAATACAGATGAAAAAAAACGAGAAAAAATTTGGATTGAAATTTGTAAAAGAAAGGGTTACAAACCTAAAAAGAACTCGACTATTTGCTCTGCATTTTGAGAACGATGCCTATATATCATCCTGTTCACCGTCTTTTCTAAATTCAATTAACTTTTCGGGAAAAAGAAAGCAGTAGTTAACTAATATATATATATATATCATCGTAGGTTTTTTTTATTATAAAATGTATTATGTCTAAAATAGTCATAATACATCTTATAATAAAAAAACGGGGATCGTTTTGATGGTGTCAGCGGTAGTAAATATAAAATAGAGAAGGGTGAGCCTGTGATAATATACATATATATATAGAATAGTGAATAGTGAATAAGAGTAATATAAAATATATAAGTAAGAAGATTTTATAAAAAGATATATTTCAAATACAATAGAAAATAATTACATTGATAAAAGTCCAAAGTCCAATTTTTAAAATGATAATATGGAAAGTCCAAAGTCCAATTTATTGATGATACAAATTGTCACGCTTCAATGCTTCAACAACATTAAAGAAACGATAAAAGGAATCAACTTTTTCACCAAATTCTTCATCCCAAAACCAGTTAAGCCAATCTTCTATTTGTAAACAAAGACATGAATAAAAACTTGACCCAACTTGTATGTTACACATTCTAAATTTTGCCAAAGTCCAATTTACTGATGGTATAAATTGTTTCGTTTCAATATATCATCGACAAGAAAGAATCGCAAATATGACTGTCTTTTCACCAACTTTGTTGTCCCAAAACCAATTAATCCAATCTTCTATTTGTACACAAACGCATGTAAAAGAATTTGTAGAAGACGTTATGTCGCATTGTACACACATTGTAAATGAGGGTTTCTTTTATTGCTTTGAGTTATTTCTTAAAAAACGACTTCAAACGATTGCAAACACCAACATATTTATATTTTTTTTGCCTTATCCATAAATAAAAAGAATAGGGAACATATTCAACTTCACCTCTATTTGATTTATATGGAAATTGAAAAAGCTCATCATCTCCTTCATAATAAAGTTGATTCTGTTGAATTTTTTCTTGTTGATTATTCAACCAATGAATAATATTTCCTCTCCAAAGAAATTCATTTGCATTGTAGCTGAAAATACATTTTCCATTGGGATATTCTTTAGAGTGTTTTTCAACATAGTTAATACAGTTAACTGGTTTAATATTTTCTCTTGTATTTCGTCTTGATGCATTTATTAGTTTCTTCACATCATGTAATAATACCATGAAAGCAAGCCTCACATTGATTACTAGTAGCTAATCATTGTAATCCTTCCTTTATGGGTTTTTATTTTATTTTTTATAAGTACAAACATTTTTACCCAAATAATTTTATTTTGAATTAATAAAAAATCTTTTTTTCTTACTTTATATCTTTTTCTACTTTTTCACACATTTCTTTTATATTAAACTCAAATTCTATTCTTAGATGATTTATTAATTCATCAATTTTCTCTGTAAGTCTTTCTTCAATTTTTTTTATTTCTCCTTTTATTACTGGTATTATTTTGTTAAATTCAGAAAAAACTTTTGAATTTACAGAAGATTCAATTTCACAATAGATACATTTTGTACATGTTGATTGCTTACATATTTTTAGAGGAGAAATACGGTGTGAATTAAAATTATTAAATTCATGAAATGTTTGCGGTTTTCTATATGAAATATTTCCAAATCCACCATAATTTTTGGAAGGGTTATCCACATCATTTTTTTCCATCTTTTTTTATCCAATACCAATGTGGTTATCTACTCTACATTGATATTAAGGATTTATATATTACATTTTTTAGTAAATAAATAAAAAACATATTTCTTATTTTATAAAAATAAGAATTTCTCAATTTTTTCATCATATTTTTTTTTTCTTTTTTAAAAAAATCTGAATTTCTTACCCTTTTATCGCTTTTTAATGTAAAATCTTCAATAAAAGATTTATTTTCATTTGAATGTTTTGCTGTCTAATTGATAATGGTAAAATCTTCAAATCATAGCATTACTTTTATATTTGAGCGATGAAGATTTTGATGAAGAAAAAGATTTAAGTCAAATTATTATGAAATCAGAATATATATCTAAATTCATTGATGGTGGTGGAATGATTATTTTTAATAAAGAAATTGAAGATGGAAGAAAATTTAATTTCAAATTATGATGAAGGGATGATAATCAGCTAAAAGATAGTATTGACATATTTATAGAAAAATTGGAAGACTACTTTTATGATCATGATGAAAAAGAATTTTATAAGCACATTACACAATTGGATTTAGTTAAAGTGTTTTATAAAAATATTATTGAAAAAATTG